AACTGCAGCCTAAGTAAGGCATAAGGAACAAGTGGAGAACAGTGAAAGAAACTGTGCAAGAGCAGTAAGAAGATAACTGGCCTTCTCCATTTAGGGGAATTCCACACCTAAGTGGAAATGTAAATGTCCTTCTCTGGTGACCTCGTAGCTCAGCTATCCCAAGTGGGTGGGATAGATAGGAGTAACGTGGAACCTTTGAAGGGGAAGTTGGTAGGCAAATACCACTGCGAAAGCAAGAGAAAGCTGAGTTCTTGGTTATTAAGGTAAAGCCTTAGCTATTCTAAAAAGGAAACACCAAGAAGCGTACATCTATATGCAGAGGCTTAAATAAGATGGAAGTTCATTTCTTCCTTGTGTTATAGTCCCAAGAAGAGCAATGCAGATTTGCAGGAAGACTATGAAGTCACTCAAGGACTCAAATTCCTTCCATTTTCCACCCACCATTCCCTTAGGTGATATCATCAGTGGGTTGTGGTCACACTCACTGGTTCCCATCTGTGGAAAAGAAAAAGAGAGGAACACCAAAGTAAGCAGCTTACTTTTAAAGGTAGAAATGACCCAGAAATTGCACATACCTTCAGCTTACATGTTACTTCAACTCACATCCTATTAGCCAAAACTTAATCATGTGATCACATTTAGCTGTGAAAGAGGCTAAAGATGTAGTCTCTAGGTGAGTAATCATGTACCTAGTGTAGCCTTTATTTCTATGGGAAAAGGGAAGTACGGATTTTAGAGGAAAACTGTAAGTCTTTGCCATATGAAGAAGCCAAATGTTGTGTTGTTAATCTAACTGGTAAAACTTGAAAGGCTAATGGCCACCAAATGCTGGTCTAAGACTACTATACATGTACAGTACAAAAACCAAGGACAGTGGAGGAAAGCATGCAATTTAAAGGTTTGTCCTTTAGTATGAGATAATATTCTTCCTGTTTTTATGTTGTATTTAATGAGATGGTGATGATGGTAGATAGCATTTCAAATGTCCTTTTTTAAAAAAAAAAAAAAAAACCAGAGTATTGGCAACACTACATCAGTATATCCATTCCCTAATATGTGTGTGTGTGTGTGTGTGTGTGTGTGTGGTTGAGATTTTACTGATTCTTGAAATCTTTATCTGGGAACTAATGCTCCATGTGACAACCAAGCACAGAGGGTCAGCAGAGAAGGCAGTATTATCCCTACTCCTCCTTTAACATCGAAGATGGTTTCTCACCTCAAGAATAGGTTTTGTAAACTCTCCTCACTGGACCCACCATCATGTCCTTCTCTATATCCAGTTAGGTCCTCCCACCTCTGGACTCCCATAGTATTGTTTACATGGTTGCACCATAGCTGCAAGGTCTCTAAAGGCCTAGACTCTGGAACTAGCATAATGTCACTTTGGTCACATTCTGATAGTCAAAGCCAGTCATCAGCTCAAACCAGATTCAAGAATATGGACAGGTAACCTCTGCCTTTTGATGGGAGGAGTAGCAGCAGCATATTGCAAAGAAGCATGTAGACACAGAGAAGTGTGATTCATTTGGGTTGTGGGGGAAGGAGTCATTACTGTAATGCTTTTCCACAGCTGACATTTCCCACATGATAACATTCTATCTTCCAGCCTTCCTGTCATGCCCTCAACTTCCTTTAAAACAAAGTGCAGTTCATACAGTACCTTGCTTCGTACTATATAATTCTGCCTCCTGGCTTCAAGAAGTCAGACTAGAGATAAGTACTTCTATTAGTTAGGATTAGGACTTACTTCAAGTGAGAGAAAACGCCAATTGGCTGGGCGTAAATAAAACAGAAGTTTATTTCTGGCTCTTGTTAAATACAGAGGTAGATTCTAGAGGTTTGGTACTGGCCTCCACATTATCAAGCCTATTCTATCTTGTAGCTCCATTGACTGTACTTTCCATTTCCAAGGTTGCCATTATTCAGAATGGCTGCCAAGGCTCCAAGCATCATACATCCCATTTCACTCAATAGAAAGGAAAAAGGCAAGGGAAAATAGAGCCCACTCTAATCCGGGATGTTTCCTAAAAGTTGCACACCCATGTTCCTCTTATATCCCATTGGCTTGCATTTACTCATATAGACACACCTGTCATCAAGGGGCATCGGGAAGGTGACTTTCTGGTGGCTGTGTCCCCAGCCAAAAATCAGTGGTTCTATTACTATGGAAAAAAGAGTAGATAAGAATGAAGATATGAAGGAAGTGAGGGAACAAACCACATAGATATCTGTGGGAAAAAAGCACAGGCAGAGGGAAAAGCAAACACAAAGTTTCAAAGCAGGAGCATTCTTGGAAAGTTTGAGGAACATCAAGGAATCCAGCATAATTAGAATGAGAGGAGGGGTATCAGATGAGAATGAAGAGATAGCCAGGGGTCAAGCATAGTAAAGACCACGTAATGTGCTGTGAATAAGATATTCTAAGAATCCCAAAGCAAAGCTGTGTAGGGGTCCTCAAGACCACCTACCAGGTTCAATGATTTGCTAGGAGGACTCACAGGACTCAACATATAGTCCTACTTATAGCCATGACAGTGACAGGATACAGAGCAAATTCAGCAAAGGGAAAGGCATATAAGGCAAAGTCTGAGGAAACCAGTTGCAAGCAAGCCTCCAAGAGTCCTCTCCTAGTGAAGTCACACAAGAGGCACTTTATTCCTCTACAACAAGTTGTGGCAACAGGTATGAAATACTGCCTACCAGGGAAGCTCAAGGTTTTGATTGTGGGCTTGTTGCAGAGGCACCCTTTTCCTGGCATATACCAAAGCTCTAACTGCCAGAAGGAAAGCAGGTGGTTAGCATAATAAACTATGCTGTTTATACTAACAATTTAGACAGAGTGGGCCACTTTTATCATTTAGGGAATGGCCAGAACCCTGCTGGAACCTAAGTTTCCAGATACCCATCAGTAGCCAACCTTGCAAGGAGATTTCTAGGAATAGCAGTCTTGGGCCTATTGCTAATTCTTTCCTGAACAAAAGTACACAGGGAGGGATGCACAGAGCAAAGTGGTATAGGAACCAGGAAACTAAGCAGAGACTAAGCAGGCTCATAAGTTAGTAGAAGCAATGAGTAAATAGAAACCATGAACCAGATAAACTGAGACTTAGAGAGTACAATAGTAACAGAAGGAGGAAGCAGCAAAGAGAGAAGTCCGTGGGACAACAACCTCTATTACTGCTCTTAGGATATCAGAGTTGCTATTAATATGTGATTCTGGAGACCAATGAACAATGCTCCAGCTTCACATAAGGCCTGATTATTCCATTAAAATTTTTCCTATACTTGCTTCCTAATGTATTCATATCCTTATAATAAATTGAAATCACCAAAAGTTAGAGGCATATTTGTGCTCCTTGAAACCTAAAAACACTTCACTAATACATCTAGGGTTTTGGCCATTGAAAAATAGACATTATAGAGAAAAAAATAGAATGGTAGCCAAAGGATCACTGGCCAACTGGATAAAGAACCAAGATTTATACTGTGGCATCAAACCTCCACCCACTCCCCACCATAAAGCCCCTGCTCCAGCTACATCAAACTACTCACAAGTACATTCAAAGTACATTACTATACTTCTTTGATTTTGATCATGTAGTTTACTCTGTTTAGAATTCTTGGTCTTGTCATCCTCAAAAAACCCTGAAGAGCTTCTTTACCCAGCTCAAGAGTCATTTGCATTCTCTATGAAGCCTCTCTGACCATTTCTTCCCCGTGCACTCTTGTCTAGCCCCTTCAGAATGAATCTTTATTTCTGTACTACTCTCTCAGCTCTTGGTGCATATTTCTGTAGTAGCACATATAAAACATATTGTAATTGATAATTTATGTGTCTGTCTCTGAATAAATTATGGTTCCTAGCACTTAGCATAGTGCTTCACAAGTGGTAATTCTTTACTAACTATGTATCAAAGAAATGAACGGATGAACGAACCAAGAAACAAATGCGATGAACGAACCAAGAAACAAATGCAATGAATCACATATTGAAGAGTTATGACACCAGGAATCAAGAACAAGGCTCCATGACCAAGACACCCAATTTTCAATTCTCATGCTTGAAACAATAATCTCTCTCATCTGTTGGGGTGCTTTTTATTTCTCCAAATTATATTGCTTTTGTACTACCCTAGTGAAGATACTATTACTTTACTCATGTTAAAGAGCTGTGTTAGCATTGATTATAACAATTTCTCTAGTGAGCAAGCAAATTATTTTCTTAAAAATTATGGCAGAACTTAAATATCCCCCAACTAAAAAAGTCTGATGCTAAATATACTTAACTCTAGAGTGTCTAAGTGTATTTATACAAGTAAGTAAACACATACAATTATTCTCCTGCTGTGAAAGTACTTTTTACCTCTAGTGGCTTATATGTGTATGCATATTCTTAAGTTAAACTTTTCAAAGGGGAAAAATTTCAAGTAATACTGATTTCACAACCCACTACTATGACACTAAAAGTGAATTCCCCAAGCAATTTTATAATAAAACCAATTCTAAAAGCTTAGACATGGTCATATCAAACATCAGATACAATCTAAATTTGTTACTATTTCCATGTTATTTCTTTTGAGTAGTGACCCTTTAAAATCTGATAGTATGTAGGTTTCCTTTATCTCCCTGAGAGTTATCAGAATCAAGGCCTTTGGTTAAATGCTTTCATCACCTGTTGTGGTTGTGGTGGCTATTGTTTTCAACATGCAAGAGGTTGCAAGAACTGAACTACACAAAATGGATTCCCCAAAACTGAAAAGAGATTTTTAAAAATAGCACTGTCTGAAATTAAAGCTCATTCGAATTAATTTTGAATTTCCTAGGTCAGCCATCTGAGAGAGGGCTTGCAAATGTGTATTGACGAGATTGAGGTGTTGCCCAATTCTCACATGTGTGTAGAGAGGAGAATGTTGTTGCAGAGTTAGAGAAGGAAACCAATATTTTTTGAACATTTTCTTTGTGCCAGGCTCTTAACATATGCTCTCATTTAATCATCACAGCACCCTTCTATCCACATTCCACAGATGAGAAAAGGAAGTTTGGAGAACGAGGCTCCAGGCTGCACACCTATTGCTGAGGAGAGCTGAAATTCCAACCATGTTTCTCCAGCTCCAGAGTCTGTGCCTCTACCACTTGATATAAAAGACCATGTGATCACATCACAAGCTACAAATAACTCTTAACTAAATGTAAGCTATCCTGGAATTCATCCCTAAAATGGAGTGATCTGCTTGGAGATTAAAATTAAAACAAACAAACAAAAAAGAATTAAACAGGGATCAGCAAATTATAGTCCCAAACTTGCTTGCCAAATAACCTAAGGCTGCTTCCAGTCTACAAGGGCAGAGTTGAGTAGTTGTGACAGAAACCAAATGATCCACAGAATTCAAAATATTTTCTTTTTGACCCTTTGCGGAAAAAGCATGCTGATCTGAACTCTGGAAGAGAACCTTTGTCAATCAATATCTAGCGTTGTCCCAGGAAGAGAGATTCAATGTGTAGCAGACACTGGAAAGCCTACCTTATATAAGTGCAAGGGGATCTGCTGACCCTGCCCCATTTATTCAAGTGAGTAAATTCCCCTTGCCATGACCTATTATCCATCAAGAAATCTCATCACAAATACCATTTTCTAAGTACCATAATAACTGAGAACAACTATGAAGAAAAACAGATAACAGATAATAGTTGCTGTGAAAATATGGCCAAATTGTAAATTAACAGTTTAATATGCTGGATTTAAAATCACCACACAATGAATTTATAATTGGTATGAAACTCTTAAGTAGATCTGATCATATCTAAAAAAACTGGTAAAAATTAGTTCCTGAACTTTGCCAGAATCAAAGATTAGGATTCTTATTGACCCAAAAAGACAGATAAATGAAGAATATCCAGGTTAAGAAAGCTAAACAGCCTCTCAATCTACATCAGTTTATCAGTATGTTTCATGCATTAAATTTGTTCAAAGAATAAATAAACTTAATTGATGAAAAAGGTTTATATGCTTTTCAGCAATTGTATTCACACTGTGTTTCTTACTTGTTTTTATACCATGATAGAATAATAGGATGGAAAACATGAGACTCTGCACTATTTTGAATAATTCACAAAAAATTTTGGAATAGAATATAGATAGTTTAAGTTAATTAGATTGGCCCTATGAACCAATAATCTAATTTTCAAAGTAACATGGAAGAAGTAATTTTGGGTGACTAGCAAAAAAATTAAAGAAAAAGCTGGAAATAGTTTAATTATAAAGAGGGAAAAAAATTTTAAACTGAATAATCTTTAAAAAGTAAATAATTTCTTCTTAATTTGAAAATATAGAGAAATTGGTGACAGTGTACACTTCTGGTTTTAGTCTCTTTTTATATAAATGTTTATTTAGGACAGCTTTAAATTTACAGAAAAAAAATGCAAAGAAAATACAGAGTTCTTAATATACTCCTCATTCAATTGCCCCCCCATTAGTATCCTACATTAGTATGAAACATTTATTATAACGAATGAACCAATATATTATTAACTAAAGGATTCCCTCAGTTTTTATTTAATGTCCTTTCTAGATTGGTTTAGTTTACCCATCCCTGAACCAAGTAGACATTGGCAAGGAAAATGGAATTGCTGTGATTGATTTAATTAATCCAGGCCGACCACTGGCAGCCCAACTATATGCCAGCTAACCTTAAGGGTGAAGTTGAATGGATGTTGACAGGTCAATCACTATATTCACTACAATGATTTTCTGATGAGGAATCTGCTAATACATACTATGGGGAAAAGAATCCTAATTCATCAATCAGCTTTTCCTTATTATTCTCCAATAGGACACTCACTAATATAACTAATCATGAATAGCCAGAGATGTTCATGACACAATAATTGTTTGACATTTCTAGAGGGTATTTCTAGAAACTTTAAAAATTTCCAACATTCAGAAAAACAGAAAAATTTTATATGATTTCTTGGTTTTCTTTCAATTCCATTGATAGACATATTGCTTCCTATGCACTAATTTAAACCCTATAGATTACTGTCTTTTCTTAAAAAAAAAAAAAAAATCTATTTTTTAGAGAATAAAATGCATTCACAAGATTAAAAATTCAGAAGACTCAAGTATATATAGTGAGATTTCCCTCTACTACCTGTGTTCCCTAGTGATTTCCATTCCTCCCTACCACCAAAGTTACCATTTTCTTGTGCATTATTCCAGAGATAATTTGTGCAAATGTGTATTTATGTATATATTCTTTCCTCCACTTCTTTTTACAATGCTCTCTTCACCTTGCTTTTTGTCTTTATATCTTATTGCTCTTTCCATAGTGATATTGAGAGAGCTTGCTCATTCTGTTTTATGTCTTCATATTATTCCATTGATGAATTTACTGTAATTTATTCAGTTAATCTCTCATTAATGCACATTTGAGTTATTTCCAATTTTTTGATATTACAAACTCTAAAAAGTGCTGCAATGTATAAGCTGAGATACATGTCATTTTACCCCATTCCCAGGAGGATATCTGCAGAACAAACTATTGCCTTTCCATCTTTCACCAAAATTTTATTTTTACTCCAAGAACAAGTTTTGCACTGGGTGAGAATACTCACAAAATAACTTTCACTAATCTTTGTTTGTTTAATATAAAAGACTCATTCAAGTCACAGACGAAAACCAACTTCATATTATATATTTCACACACTAATTTACACTAAAACTCTATTGTCTCACTAACAACAATCACTTTCTTAGAGCTTTACTTGGAGTACCAGAACTAGCAATTGGAGGACACATAACAAAATAATACCATTGACTGAATGTGAAACAAGTTGATAACAATATCAGGAAGATGAAACATGCCAGGAGGTTGCCTGGCCTTGCTTGGTGGCATGGTAAGTTAGTCACTGGCCTTGGGATCCTTTCAATTCAACTTGACATCTCAGCAAAGTTTCTAGGTTTGTGACTCTCTCCAGGGAAACTTCTATACATCCAAAGTTCTGTAAAATTTTCTGTCAGAAAATTATAATACTCAGGGTATTTCAGCTGGCTCCCATTAGCAAGGGTCAGGAAACCTAAATGCATTCTTTTCTAGTTACCAGTCCAGGGCAGAAGCCAGTGTGCTCTGAACAAGATCTGAATATGGATTATACCATCACCTGGGACTTATCAATGAATGCTCCATTCAGTCAGTACCCTCAGGAACTCAGTAGTGGGACCCATAATGATAACATTATAATTAAAATACTCACATTTATTGAGCATTCACTATGTGCTCTGCTACCAGCTTTAAAAGCATTTTTTTCATGATTCTTTTTCACGATTCTAGACTTGATTCATTTGTAGATTTAATCTAGAAATCTTTTTCATGACTTTAAATTTCAGTCATTTGCAGATGTAGTACAAGGGTCTACAGAAAGGTCATCCCTTCCTCTTCCACTCTGTAACCCAAAGTTAACCTTAATGTCAGACTCTCTCATTTGTCCTAAGAGTGACTAAAATGAAAATATCCCTTCAAGAGGGAACACAGTAAACAGAACCAGTCTTTTACACATCATTTTGACAAATTTTATCATATTCTTTCCAGGACAAAATCTTCATGAGGAGAGGACAGAAAGAGCTCTGTTGATATGTTAGAAGGTGGGGACAGATTACTGCTAAAAAGGGGGCACTTAAAGGCAGGTTGATATACAGTAAAAGTTTAGTTGGCTTCAGAGTAGTATCTGAAATATAATCACCATTATTACCCATCTTCCAGTTATACATCTCTGTTATGAACGTGTGGGAAAACGAAGGCCAGAATGGTTTTGTTTGATTCTTCAAAGTATTGATAATAATAAACTTTAAGTAATGGTTCATTAAGTAGTGGCATGCTCAAGGATCAGAAACTTCTAATCAAAGCATTAGGTAGCCTTCAGAAATTGCTTTTAGGTATTTATGAAGGGTGTTAGAGATTACCGCTTTTAAAATATAACCAACTCAAAGACCAGTTTCATAGACATTTGCTTTTCAAAATTATTTTTTGGAGATTTTGATCCCGGGTCTTTAAGCATTAGATGTGAGTTATTACTTATCAAGACCTAAAACCACTCAGACTGAAGAAGATCTCTGCCCAGTTGCTGCAAGTGGTTGGCAAGTGGCATAGAATGCCTGAAGAAGTGGGTCACACAGTTAATTACACACAATTTAGCCAAGAGGTAGGCAAAAGGCAATCTCACTCTGTCTCTTATCTGTGTCCAGTTTGAAACTTTATCATTGGCAGCAATTTGGTTTTTGTACCTTTTTCGCTTCCAAGGGGCATTAGGCTGGACTGTATCATTTATGGCCTCTCCTAGATGACTTAGTATACCTTGCTGAGTGAATGTCCAGGGCTGAGGGAGAAAAAAAAAGACTGTGTGGTGTCCCACTATAGTCCCTGAATATAGGCTCTAACCAGAAGCATACAACTGGGCTGTGATTACTATGGCCTCACCCTTATTTCCAGAGAATTACCCAGCAACATTACTGGAAATGAGCTGTCTTGTCCGGTCAGCTCCCTTTCTCTCAGCAGAAAGGTTAGAGCCCCATGAATTTCACAATGTTGCAGCTTCTTGGGAAATGCATTATGAATTTCCAAATCTCTTGTTCAGCCTTGATAAAATTCCCAAATGATTGCAAAAGTGAAAATAAAACTCAAAGCCATTTTGAACCTTGGTATTTACAAATAAGACAGGGAATAAAAATTACATGCAAGTAAACTGGACATCATAATCATATCGACTTTTTGGCACTTAGTAGAATTCATAGTTTCTGTGTGGAAGGAAAAATATTGATAGTAATACAAGTTTAATCTTATCCTCTATCTCAGTAATTTATAGGGTGTTAGGACTGATAGAAATTTAAATAACATCTACTCCATACCTTCATATCACAAATTTGAGACCAGAGAGACTGTCAACACACTTATGGGCACTTAGCTTACATGGTAGAAAGAACACTCAGCTTACAATGAGAAAACTTGAACTTGAGTCCAAACCCCGACACTTTCTGGTTGTGACTTTCAGACAAGCCAGCAGGCCTCAATTACTATATTGGCAAATTGGAGTAATTTATGCACCAGGAAGGCTTACTGTGAATGTTGCTTTGTTGAGGGAGGAGCAGTGAAGTACCACCAAAAACTCGGAAATATGTTGACTCTTAAAACTAGTAAAATTCACATAATAGATGAGAAAGCCACCTTCAGAAATTAATAATAACATTGTCAATTTATGATGGAAGAGTTGTTTTTAAAACTAGCCTTTTTCCTGATCAAATATTACTAAATTTTCATCTTTTAAAAATCTAGACAATAAAAAACAAAGTGAGGATTGGCTTACTTATAACGTAGTGAGTAGATCTCCAAATGTATTCTGGAGGAATTGACCATCTACATACAGATAGGAACCTATCATATCTGCTTTTGACACTCAGCAAGATATTCGTATAATCTTTCAACATATTTGAGAGCACACAGAATTCTAAGGAAAGTGAATTTGGTGAAACATTTGGGAAGCTGATTTGATCTGAAATGTGATGTTAATTTGATAACCTGAGGAACGACAGTGAATAAAATAAGGCAGATTGGCAAGAAGTAAAACAAAAAGGAAGCCCCAAAAGGCCAAAATATAGACCAGGAATGGTCCAAGGCTTTACAGGCTTTGTTTATTTTTTATTTATTTTTATTTTTTGAGGCGGAGTCTCGCTCTGTCCCCAGGCTGGAGTGCAGTGGTGCGATCTCAGCTCACTGCAAGCTCCGCCTCCCGGGTTCACGCCATTCTCCTGCCTTAGCCTCCCGTGTAGCTGGGACTACAGGCCCCTGCCACCGCGCCGGCTAATGCCCGCCTCGGCCTCCCAAAGTGCTGGGATTACAGGTGTGAGCCACCGCGCCCGGCCTACAGGCTTTATTTTATTTAATCCTCTCAATCACCCTACACAATAGGTAACATTATTCCCATTTTTCATAGGAGGAAACTGATGCTTAAAGAAGTTAATTATCCAATATCATAAAACTAGTAAGTGTTAGGAATTGTATCTGTACCCCAGCAGTACACTTCCGGAGCCTGATTTTTTAAAATTATATTTTATTTTTGCTAAAGTTATGCATACATATAATGTAAAGAATCAAATAGTTCCATAAGGTTTGTTTTGAAAACAACCATCCCTAGCTCCTGCCTTCCG